GGATAGGAGTACCGTGAGTTTCTTATTGAGAGCCAAAGATCCATAAATGCATATGGATATAGTTTCTGGACAAGGAGCAAGCCACAATAAAGACCTGATCAGTTCAAAAGAATTATTCATTCTTGATACGTAGAGCTCTATCTTCAAATGCTTGACAGAATACAGGGGAGGACGGCGTTTCATCCTCAGCATCTCCGGAATAATCACATCCTTTGGTAACAAAATGGAAAACACATAACCAATAATGTAGAGCCAAATAATGTCAAGAGATCTAACATGACTTTGGGTGCAAACACGCGCGCGCACACACACACACACAGTTTAGGTTGTGTTGGTAGTAGGGGATGAAAGGGGACAGAATGAGGGATTGCGGAGTGATGATTGATTATTTTTTGCCAAAAGTATGAGTTACTCCGTCGAAGTTATGAAGTGATATTTTAAAGACTATTTTTTATCTAAAAGAAGATTCTATATACTATTTCAACTAATAGGTTAAGAATAAACTGTATTGAACAAAAATGAGGGGAATCACGTCCTCCCAATTCTCATCCGCTCCCCTCCTTTTGAAACTAAGCACACCCTTGATGAATGAAATATCATACGGAGAACATAGCTTACCTTTTCGCTATTCACACAGAGCGACAAAGTTTCAGTCCAACGTAACTTTGCAAGAAATTTAAGTAGTCCATTAAACCACTCTTCTCCTCGATTGCCATGTATCAAGTCAATGTAAGCATCTTTCAACTTGAGAGTTGGACCCTTGCACACAAAGGTTATAGGATCTATGGAATCATGGGAGATGAATTCGAGGTTAGGTGTATCCATTCTAACCTTTGTCAAAGCCTTACATCTCTTACAAACGAAATGGACCAGACTTTGACTCGAAACCACAGTGTGATACAAATTATGACATTTGTCCAGTGATAGACTTCTGAGCATCGGATGGTTATTCAGAATGTCAGCCAGGTCATGGTCATCCAACTGGCAGCCATACAGTTCCAGCAATTCCAATTTCTTACAAGCCCCGATATTAAGTTTAGATTCAATGCTGCCATCAGACGTAAAATAAAACTCAGAAAGATTGGGTGCCTCAATGGTAATCACTTTCATTTCTTTCCCCAGGTGCTCAAAAACCAGTGTTTTGAGGTTAGAAAGACAGTAGATTTCCAGTCTCGTCAATCCGGAACAGCTTTTCAGAGAAAACTTTTCAAGGTTAGGACAACTAGCAAGCAAATTCGCCAAGAACACATTGTCTGCATTGACATCTTCAAGGCAGATTTCTTGCAAACAAGGTAATTGGCCATCCACCAAACATGATGAGCTCAACCCACAATTTACCAATCTCAATCTCTTGATGCCTTTGGGGAGGAAAACACTCTTGGGAAAACTATATGTAGGGTCACGGGAAGAGCCACCGAATTCCAATCTCAACTCTTTGACACGGCGTCTAACAGCGCCAGAAAGCCAACCATCCAAGCGAGATTTCAAATCTAAATCATAACCTTGGAAGTACAGTTCAAGCTTATCCAAATCCATTTGAGGGCCTAAAGCCCGATCAAGAAAGGCATAAAAACTTCTCCTCACCCTGAGAATCTTCTCCCTCTTTGCTTTACTGGCACCATCCTTTTCATCACAATCAGGCAAACGTTCATTCATTGCTGAAGAATAAAAGCAGTACTTATCCAAAGCTAAAGAGGGCAGGCTTTCCGACAGTGCCCGCCAACTGCTTGACAAAATGCATGTTCTAACAGCTTCCCTAGTTTTTACAAATGAAAGTATGTGCAGCTTAATTGAATCCGGCAAGTCAGATATTCTATCCGATTCCTCAGAGTTCGTCCCATCATAAAGCTTCTTCTTCTTCTCCACGCTAATTTCCATCTCTCACAAGGAATTATATGGCGTGTGCGCTACTGCATCGAAGTATGATCGATTTCATAAGTCATAACAACAGTAATCGAGATGGATGAGTAAGTGTGTTCAAAGGGAATTAGGGATTCACCTGGGAAGTTTGGAGGAAACTTGTCTTCAAACCCTAGAAACGGCAGTTTTGCACGAATATTTTGGGTGTGATTGGGAGTGATTAACAAAACAAAAGCACCTCCTATCTGTTCTCTGAAACGGCGTTCTATGTATAAAATAGTGGGAGTGAAAAGCGGAAGTTGTCATTCCAAATAGAGTAAAATTACTTCTACTCAAAGCAGAAGCTATATGATTAAAAGCAGCACGTTGTCAAACACTCTCTTTGTGTTGGTGTAAAACTAATTTTGTTTTAACGCACCAACATTTATGTCTGTGTAAATTTTTGTTAACGCACCAACACTTCTGTCGGTGTAAACCATTAAAATATATGTGCAAAACTGTGGTGTACAAATGGGGTATATGTTTTGGTGTAAGTGTAGCATGGTCCAATTCTATGGATTATGCTACATGTACCCCCAAGATATATACCCCAATTTGTACCCCGCAGTTTTGCACCAACATTTTGTGTTGGTGTAAAACTAATTTTGTTTTAACGCACCAACATTTATGTCCGTGTAAATTTTTGTTAACGCACCAACCCTTGTGTCGGTGTAAACCATTAAAATGTTTGAGCAAAACTGTGGTGTACAAATTGGGTATATGTTTTGGTGTAAGTGTAGCATGGTCCAAATTCTATGCCAAAGTTTCGGTTTACAATATTTTGATTAAAAGTTAAGTATTTTCTAATCATTTTATACCGGACTATGAAAAAATGATGTAGAATTAAAGAATAAAAAATACATGTTTAAAAACTTCATCAAAAAATTTAAAAATCTAATAATGACATTACTATATTATTCTATCAAATAATTAAAAAAAATTAAAAAATAAAGTGAATGAAGTTTGATTATCTGAATTGTAAACAGATTATTTAATTTGGAACGGAGGGAGTATTTATTAGGTGTGAGCATGAAACAGTATGATACAGCATTTAGCTTGTACCGATATCGTACCAAATGTTTCGGTTCGGTATTGAATTTTACAGCGCACTGATCCCAGTCTCGAAATATCACGTACGATTTTTGGATGGTTTAGTATCCCCTTTCAGTTATGTTTTGCACACAAGTCCTCTAACCAGTTCTTTTGTTGCCCAGAACTTGCAAAATAATGTAAGAAAATAAACCAAATTAAATCTTTCCTTTAATAGAAGGGGGCTGTTATGTACTCCGTATTTTACTCAATTATAGTTGTATTAGACTATTAGGATTTTTTTTCTAGTTTTTTTTTCAATTTCTATTTCTCTTTTTGTTTATAGGTTTTGTTCTCATCAATCTTCTCCTCTATTTGTTGCGTACCAAAGAAATCTCTATTTGTTGGATTCTTATGGTTTCTCTTGCATGTGCTCATTGGTGCAATTAGAATCCAATTATGAATGGAATACTCCCTTCGTCCCAGAAGCCTAAATATAGTCATGTGATCTTATTTGATTTGTCTTAACATATAGATTATCAATATATGATTTTCATAGTTTTTTAATATACAAATTACAAGATAAAATGGATTAAAGAAGTGCATTGAATGGTGTGTAAAAATGAAAGTGGACAAATACTCTAGGACGGAGGTAGTATATATTTAGAGAACTCCAAATTTACATTTTGATGAAATATTGGTATCATTGGGTAAATTTTGTCAAAAGATTTTCTAAAACATACTCATTCTCACAAAACATTACCCATTTCAATGTATTTTTGTTTAAACAGTTACACGCTTTGATCATAAATTAAATATAATCTATATAAAGAAATGTTATAAAAATTTGATATATCAAAACTAGATTCTAAGATAAATTCAATTATATTAAATTTATATTATAATTTAATATATTTTCTCACAATTTGTAGTCAAAGTGTGTAATTTTTGACCAAATACTTTTCAAAATGGGTAAGATTTTGTGGGACGCAGGGAGTATTGTTTGTCAATGACGGACTTGCATAAGAAAAGTTATGTACAAAATAAAAAAGTACAATAGAATAATTAAATAAATTAAATTAATAATTTAAATAAATAAAATCTTTGTACATCATGCTATGAATTTAGATAGAGATTGTAATGTTACCTTTATGCCCTTCGTAATAAAGTCTTAGATGATGGCATGATGTCTTATGGTAAGATGTCATGTTTCAGTCAGATGACGCAAATTTCACCAAAAATAACTGCGAAGCTTACCAGACTTTATGGAAAAACTCTATATAATTTTTTAAGACTTTGAATTTTTAAAATTTTACAGTTTCAATGCTCACAAACCCCTAATACAGAGTTCACCATTCTTCACTCAAAAGTTTGCTAAACATACACATGAAACTCACAAAATTTTTAGGTTGAAATTTTTTTTTAAAAAAATCAAAGGATGACTTGGACCACCACTGATCGGCGGCCGGGGACCTGTGGCGGAGGTGAACGGCGGCGGACAATGACTAGCGACCGGTGGTGGTGATCAACGAAGTTAGTCAGCAGTCAACGTCCAGTCACATTGGTTAAAATCCATTATTTTGATATATACCAATATTTTTTTTTTTTGGAAAAAAAAACCAAGTGTTGAAAAAATAGGTGAGCTTTGGAGTATAACTTGATGAGCTCTATACATTCTGTTGGTGAGCTTTGCACTTGGCAGTGGTGAGCTTTACCAACAAGAGAATATTGTGAAACGTCAATCCCTCCCACTAATTTTTTTACGTCGAATATTTGAGACTATATTAGTTTGTAAACATTTTTTTACTCCAATTTCAACATCAATTTAGAAATAAATTAAACACAAACCACGAACAATAGGAATATAATTTTTCTCTTTATTGAGCATTATTCTTTTATCTTTTTTTACTCCTCCCAAGTGGCCTCCACAAACGCATGCACCCATTAGCCTTTGTTTACCAAATTTATTTTATCAAACAAGCGACAAAAATAAACAAACAAAATAAATAAAATATAACACTGTGAATAGTAAATAGAAGAGATAATTTATGGTATTTCTAAAATTTTAAAGTTAAAACATTCAAAATTTATATGGACTGAACAGAGTTGACTACTTGGATAAATAATATGGAGTATGAAAAAATGGATGAAACAAAAATCACATTTTCTCTCAATACTACCAATGGCCTACACCATCTTCCCTAATAAAGCTGCAAGCCCTATCCTAATGCTTCAGATTAAGTTGTTCATGATCATGGAAAAACATATGCATGCCAAAAGATAACTTGTAACCTGAAAAATATAGCAGTGGAGAAACAAGAGAAGTCCGGCTACCATTCTGAATCACATGTGCTCTCAGAGAAGCACTCGATCTTCACGTCATTCCTTTCCTTGCGAAAGAAATTTGCAAGCTCTGTATCATCATCTTCAAGTCCTCTTGTACTCTCAATAAGGACTTTGACAAGAGAGTGCTTCCAACAGTTTACAGACAGATACTTCCAACAACCGCATTTCTTCTTGCCCTTCAATGGCTTTTCATATGTGAACTGAAAAGGCAGAAACAAAAGCCTATGAACACAACTATCACCACACATAAATATTTAGTCAGGGGTATACATGTCATATTCTGTACCTTGTCTATAACTGTTTTCATAAGCTAATCAAATTTATGCTTGAGATTTTAGTGCACATAAGTTGCATAGATATAATTTCACACCAAGGCAAGATATAGGAGAAAAATAGGAACTAGAAGATGATGTTTCACAGGATAGGAGTACCTTGAGTTTCTTTTTGAGAGGCGACCTGCTTATGGATATAGTTTCTGGACAAGGAGCAAGCCACAATAGGGACTGGATCACTTCAACAAGATGCTTCAATGTGGAATAGCGGAACTCTATCTTTAAATGCTTGACAGAATACAGGGGAGGATGACGTTTCATCCTCAGCGTCTCCGGAATAATCACATCCTTTGTTAACAAAATGGCAAATATATTACCATAATATAAATACAACTGATTATTTGATACATGAAAATGTATGGTAGAGCCAAATAATGTCAAGAAATCTAACATGACTTTGGGCGCAAACACACACAGTCACACACGCACATACACTTGAGGTTGGGTTTGGTAGTAGGGGATGAGAGGGGGAGCGAAAGAGTGATTGACTAATAAATACATTTTATAGAAATTTAACCTCCTTGATAATTGATCTTTTTTTTGCCAAAAGTATGTGTTACTCCGTCCAAGTTATGGAGTGATATTTTAAAGACAATATTTTCTTCTGAAAGAAGATTCTGTATAATATTTCAACTAATAAGTTAAGAATAAACTGTATTGAACCAAAATGAGGGGAATCACATCCTCCCCTTTCCCTCTAGAAGTGAACCCTTAGCAACTAAGCACATCCTTCATGAATGAAATATTATACAGAGTGCATTGCGTACCTTTTTGTTATACACACAAAGCGACAAACTTTCAGTCCAACATAGCTTTGCAAGAAATTTAAGTAGTCCATTAAACCACACTTTTTCTCGATTCTTAGGTATCAAGTGGATGGAAGCATATCTCAACTTGAAATTTGGACCCTTGCACACAAAGGTTGTAGGATCTATTCCATCATGTAAGAAGAATTTGAGGTTGGGTGCATCAATTATAACCTTTGTCAAAGCCTTACACCTAAAACAAATGAATTCGACCAGACTTTGACTCGAAACCACAGTTTGATGTAAAGTATGACATCTATTCAGTGATAGACGTTTGAGCATCAGGTGATTATTCAGAATGTCAGCCAGGCCATAGTCATCCAACTGGTAGCCATATAGTACCAGCACTTCCAAATTCTTACAAGCCCCGATATTAAATTTAGATTCAAATCTGCCATTAAACGTAAAATAAAACTCACAAAGATTGGGTGCCTCAATTGTAATCACTTTCATTTCTTTCTCATAGTGTTCAAAAACCATTGTTTTTAGTTTAAAAAGACAGAAGATTTCCAGCCTCGTCAATCCGGAACAGCTTCTCAGAGTTAAATTTTCAAGGTTAGGGCAACTAGCAAGCAAATTCGCCAGGAACACATCGTCTGCACTGACATCTTGAAGGTGTATTTCTTGCAAACGAGGTAATTGGCCATCCACCAAACATGATGAGCTCAACCCACAATTTACCAATCTCAATCTCTTGATGCCTTTGGGGAGGAAAACACTCTTGGGAAAACTATATCTAGGATCACTGACAGAGTAACCGAATTCCAATCTCAACTCTTTGACACGGCGCCTAACAACACCAGCAAGCCAACCATCCATGCAAGATATCAACTCCAAATCAAAACCTTGGAAGCACAGATGAAGCTTATCCATATCCATTTGAGATCCTAACGCTCGATCAAGAAAGGCATAAAAACTTCTCCTCACCCTAAGAATCAACTCCCTCTTCGCTTTATGGGCATCATCCTTATCATCGCAATCGGGCAAAGGATCATTCATTGCAGATGAAAAAAAGCAGGACCAAGGAAAATCTATAGTGGGCAGGCTTTCCGACAATGCCCGCCAACTGCTTGACAAAATGCTAGTTCTAACAGCTTCCCTAGTGTTCACAAATGAAAGTATGTGCTGCTTAATTGAATCAGGTAAGTTAGAAATTCTATCTGACTCATCAGAGTTCGTCCCATGATAAAGCTTCTTCTTCACCGGGTTCGTCTCCATCTCACAAAGAATTAAATGGCAAGTGCGCTACTGCATCAAAGTATGATTGCATAACAACAATAACCTACACCCGGAATGCCTGAAATCGCGAGAAATATAAAATATGGATGAGTTAGTGAGTTCAAAAGGGAATTAGGGCTTCACCTGAGAAGTTGGGAGGAAATTCTGTTCGAACCCTAGGATCGGCAAACTGCACACCAAACTCGAGCTTTAAAGTTAATAAACACAAAATATCCTCCTATCTATATCTATACTTAAAGCGAGGGGAATTTTTTCCCGCCCATACGGGATGCTAATATATGAAAACTGTTTAGTACTTTAATTATCTTGCCTCAATACATGTGAAACATATACGGATACTATTGAATGCTATGTTTCGTGTGACTCCTTACATGGTAAGTATTAATTGCCATTTTTGGTTTAATTTCTATTAATTACAAATTAATATGTTTTCATTTTAATTTAATCAATGATAAGTGTTATAGTGTCACTCTTGGTTTCTATAAAAAAAATAAAAATAATAATAATTGCTAACCTAAGCAAACAATTTTATAATAATAAAAATATTATTATTATTATTATTATTATTATTATTAATATTATATTATAATAAATTTTCAAAATATTGTAAACTAAAAGGAATTCATTAGTTATACCTATAAAGTAATATGTCCTCTAATTTTGTAAACTAAATTTCCGTGAACCTAACTACACAGTTAAATGCGATGATATTTATTTAAAAAACAATTGTTTCCTTTTCAGTTTTTTTGTATAAATAGTAACAAATGTCGTGTTGAGAATAACATATTCCCTTATCAACATTATATTATATTATTTACGCTCTTTAATACAAATATTAGTAAATAATCATGGGTGTGTGGTTGACATTCGACAAAACTAATGCTACAAAATTATATGTAATAGAATATTTGAAATTAAACTAAAATGATACAAAAATAATAAAATAAATATGGTAATCAATTGAAACTATAGTTTACAAAATTAGAGGACATATTACTTTATAGGTATAACTAATTAATTCCTTTTAGTTTACAATATTTTGAAAATTTATTATATAATAATAATAATAATAATAATATTTTTATTATTATAAAGTTGTTTGCTTAGGTTAGCAATTATTATTATTGTTATTTTTTTTATAGAAACCAAGAATGACACTACAACACTTACCATTGATTAAATTAAAATGGAAACATATTAATTAGTAATTAATAGAAATTAAACCAAAAAATGGCAAGTAATACTTACCATGTAAGGAGTCACACGAAACATAGCATTCAATAGTATCCGTATATGCTTCACATGTATTGAGGCAAGATAATTAAAGTACTAAACAGTATCCATATATTAGCATCCCGTATGGGCGGGAAAAAATTCCCCTCGCTTTAAATATAGTATAGATATAGATACTTGTACTAGGATTTGTTACTTAGACCGGAGAAAGTAAAAAACTAAGAGCATAGCCAACGGCGAGGCATCTCCTCGCCTTGTATACAATGCTTCAACAATGTTCCCGCCTCTTTTACCTCATGCGATTGGGCCGGTTTCGGGCCTCATATGGATGGGCCGAATGTGGACTCTATTTCGACAGCTATTGAATAAGGCTACTTCTTTTGGTGCTAGTTATACTTTATGGAGCAAAGTGCAAAATCAAGCTTTAGGTCAAATCAATTAAATAAATAGATTTGCATAATCTAAGCATTTAATGTGCTTTAAATTAGTTCATTAACTGGGTATTATATATACACTTCTTTGAGCCCGAAACGATAAATCACTTCGTTAATGCACTGTATTTGAAAGGTTAATACTATGTATTTCGTATATATGGCTCAAAATTCTCAAAAGAGTTCGAGAACAATGTTTACTACCGATTGCGGAGCTGGACAACGGTCGGACATCTTGGATTCTCATGTTAAGGGCTATTGGGGTTTACTTTGTTCCAAGGTGGGCAAAAGGCAGAGATTCCATGGAGATCGTCTTTCACGATAAGCATGTATTTGTATTCCCCAACTTATTACATTTGTTTTTTTACGGCCTATAACTCAAAATCTCATACTATCTACTTTTTGTACGGGAACGATGATTCACGCTCTTCTTAACCGACTGGGAAAAAAACATTTTGAGAACCAAATCACTGAGGGTGGTGTTTTTGGCATTCGAAATGTGTTTCCTCATGACAACTATCAAAGTTTGAAAATGACCACAAATGATAAGCTCTTGGGTTTTTTAAAGACAGTGAAGTGAAAACTTTGAATCAGAGTGATTTTCCAAGATGATGTTTGACTTAAATCCATTTCCAGTTCTTCAAAGCCAGCCATGTTTGAATGATCAAGTTTTGATCGGTATTGTTTCTTTAAAATATATCTTTAAAGCTTCTTTATTTGTTTTTTGAAGTGTTAAGCTTCTTTATTTAAATTATTTGTGTACGTATGAAATTTTACTCTTTTTTTACACACACGAAGTAGTGAAATATTTTGAATATGATCAAGTTGAGTATGATATATCAATAAACAAGAGAGAAAGAAGCTATAAATTGTAATCTTGCAAGCTACATGGGCAATAGATCAATAAAATGTCAATGATGAAAAAAAATTTATGCATTTTTTGTTTTACTAAGAAGAAATATTGTTAGTATTGTTGTCACATTTGGTTGGGGTGATATATACTCCGTATTTCTTATGGAGAGAGAGAGAGAGAGAGACTCAGAATCTTCTCTGAAGATAGGGGGATGGTTTGAGCATATACGAGAAAGAGATAAAAGGTAAATGAATGGAGGAACTGGTTGAAAACTTGGCATTCCCTGATTAGAAATGGACACAATACAAGAGAAGTGGTTTTCCACCAAACAACTTGAAGTTGGAAAACTATTTTCCCTTGAAAATGATTTCCCCCAAAACCAGACACAATCTAGAGGTAATAAATAAGGTTCTAAAGCTGCAACCCTGCCCTAATGCTTCATATTAAGCTGTTTAAGGGCAAGGAAAAAATCATGCATGCCAAAAGATAACTTGTGACCTGAATAATAATATAGTTGCGGAAAAACAAAAGAAGGCCATCGTCTTTCATGCTTAAAAACGCGATCTGTTCTTGGAGAAGCACTCGATCTTTGCGCCAATTCTTGCCTTACCGAAGAAATGTGCAAGCTCTGTATCATTATCGTCATCAGCTCCTCTGTCATTTTCGATACAGACTTTAACAAGGGAGTGCCTCCAACAGCTTACAGGCAATGATTCACAGCAACTGCAGTTCTGCTTGTCCGTTGATGGCTTTTCGTATGTGAACTGGAAAGACAGAAACAGAAGCCTATGAACACAACTGAGATGTCTCACATTTTCAGGTAAGGGGTATATATGACATAACCAGTATCTTCTCTAGAATTGTTTTCACCAGCTTAATCAAATTTATGATTATTGTTTGAGAATTTAGCACACATGAATTGTCCAAATATATAACTTCACATCAAGGTAAGATATATGAGCAAAGTAGGGGCGAGCACAGAAACGGATGATAGAAGATGATGTTTTGCAAGATATAAGTACCTTTAGTGTCTTGCAAGCCAAAAGTTCCCCACAAGATATGGATATAGTTTCTGGATGAGGAGCAAGCCACAGAAGAGATTGGATCACTTTAACAGGACGCTTCAATCTTGATAGACGGAACTCTACATCCAGATGCTTGACAGCGTACAGGGGAGGACGACATTTTGTCCTCACCGTCTCCGGAATAATCAAATCCTTTGTTAACACAACGACAAACATATATCCATAATATAAATATGACAGATTATTTGATACACGAAAATATACGGAAGAGCCAAATAATGTCAAGACTCAAGAGATATAACATGACTTGTGCACACACACTCTTTAAGGTGTGCTTGGTAGTAGGGAGGGGAGGGGAGGGAATGCGAAATTAATTATTAAACAACTTTTATTTTGAATTTTTTTCTAAAAGTATGTGTTACTCCATATAAGTTATGAATTGATATATTAGAGACACTATTATATTAAGTATTTCAATTTTTGAGTTTAAACTAAACTGGATTGAACCAAATGAGCGGAATCCACTCCCCTCTTCCCCTCCAAAGAGGCTGAACCAAAATTGAACTGCCATCTGATCCCCACATTTAGAAACCAAGGGCATCCGTAATGAATGAAAGAATATAAATTGCTTACCTTTTCGTAAGCCACATCAAGTGACAAACTTTCAGTCCAACATAGCTGTGAAAGAAACTTAAGTAGTCCATTAAACCACACCTTTTTTCGATAGTCATGCTTCAAGGAAATGGAAGCCTCTTCGAGCTGGAGGGTTGGACCGTTGCACACAAAGGTTATAGGATATTCTCCCTCATAGAAGAAGAATCTGAGATAGGGTGTATCAATTATAACCTTTTCCAAATCCCTACAATCAACAAAAATCAAATCGACTAGATTTTGATTCGAAACCTCAGCATGATACAAATTATGACATTTTTCCAATGACAGGCGTTCGAGCATTGGATGATTATTCAGAATATCGGCCAGGTCATAGTCATTCAACTCACAGCCATCTAGTTCCAGCACTTTCAGTTTCTTACAAGCCCCAAAATCAATATCAGATTCAATGTAACCATCAGATGCATAACTAAACTCATAAAGATTGGGTGCCTCAATCTTAATCACTTCTACTTCTTTCTCACAGTGCTCAAAAACAACTTTTTCAAGTTTTGAATGACAGAAGATTTCTAGTCTCGTCAATCCGTAACAGCTTTTCAGAGTTAATTTTTCAAGGTTAAGGCAACTAGCAAGCAAATTCGCAATGAACGCATCATCTGCATTGACATATTCAAAGCATATTTCTCGCAGACAAGGTAATTGGTCATCCACCAAACATGATGAACTCAACTCACAACTCACCAATTCCAATTTTTTGATGAGTTTGGGGACGATAACACTACTCGGAAAAGTATATCTTAGACCTTTCCAAGGATTAAATCGCAATCCCAACTCTTTGACACGGCGTCTAACAGCACCAGCAACCCAACCATCTAAGCGAGATTTCAACTCTAAATCAAGACCCTGAAAGTATATATTAAGCTTCTCCATCTCCATATAAGATCCTAAAGCTCGGTCAAGAAAGGCATAAAAACTTGTCCTCACCCTAAGAATCTTCTCCCTATTTGCGATACGGGCAGCATCCTTATCATCACAAGCAGGCAAGCATTCATTCATTGCAGATGTATAAAGGCTGGCCTGGCCCAAATCTAAAGTTGGCAGGCTTTCCGGCAATGCCCGCCAACTGCTTGACAAAATGCATGTTCTAACAGCTTCCCTAGTGTCCACAAATGAAAGTATGTGCTGCCTAATTGAATCCGGTAAGTTAGATATTCTATCTGATTCATCAGGGTTCGTCTCACAATGAAGCTTCTCCTTCTCCGCGTTCATTTCCATTTCACAGTGAATTAAATGGCATGTGCGCTACTGCATCAAACTATGATTGCATGACAAGAATAATCTTTATCCACAATGGCTGAAGTTATGAGAAATTTAAATTAAAAAGAAAAGTGGATGAATAACTGAGTTCAAGGCAATTAGGGTTTCACCTGAGAAGTTTGGGGGGGAACTTTTGTTCACAACCCTAGAAGCAGAAGAACCTTGAATGGCGGCAAGTGGGCAACTCAAGTCACTGGTATTTGCGGTAGACGAAGCCAGTGACCTAAGAAATTGCCCAAATTGGTCACACGAACAATGGAACAAATAGACACTGATATTGGATTTGAATGATAGGGATGAGCTTATTAATGATACCTCGGTGGTTCGGTATGGAATTTCTACATCATATCGATCGCGACAGTTCGGTATGGTTCAGGGTGATTGGTTTCGGTTTAAGTAAATATTGGGATATATATATATATATATATATATATATATATACACACACACATATACACACACGTACCTAGTTTACACTTTAGAATTTACTAAGCTTTTTATTTAAAAAAAATTGAAAGTACATTCAAATAAAGAAAGATAAACAATTAAAAAATGAATAATTAAATGCAAAAAATATTTATAAAACTTAGTTTAATTTATACTTCATATTTCACAAACAAAGGAGAAAGAATGATAACAAAATAATACGGAGTATTTCAAATATTTTGTTATGACAGACGCGAGAACGTATGAACACGAACAAACAACAATCATGAAAAACAACAGAGATTTAACGTGGTTTACTAACAACTTGTTAGTAACCTCCACGGACAGAAGAGAAACAGATTTATTGATCAGATTTTCTCACCAGATTACAGATTTTCTCTACCATGTATTGAGGAGTACAAATACAAGCCATATATATAGGAAAGTGGATATGTGTAATCCTAATCCTACTACATATATGAATATGAGACTAGGAAAGATAATCCTAATCCTATTCGTAGTCGTAATCCTAATACGTCTAGGATACAGATTCAAGACATTTTCTAACATATTTGTTAATTTTTTTTATATAAATCTATAAAAAATAAAATTCAAATAAATGATTATATATGTAAAAGATTATTTGTAATTCATCTACACTTGAACTAACTTTTCAAAATCAATTTATTTTTTAATAAAAAATAGAAAAACATTGTTATTTTTATAACGTATTTGTATATATGTTTGGTTCAGAATTTTTCGGTATTGGAAGTTACCTCGTGCTGATCCCAAATACCGGACCGATCATTGGTATGGTACGATATGATTTTTTTTTGATATTTTATCGGTTCGATATTTTTCGATTCAATAATCTAGGTTTTTCTAAGAAATTTCGACATCAGTTCGATACGTTATCATCCCTACCGGATCAGGGACACTGTTATTGGAACGCCCATGCAAGCAGCCTTTGCACCCGAGTCCAACATGATAGTGAGAGGGTAAATGGAAATTATTAAATATGTATTTAGCAAAAGTTTTATAAAATAAGAGGTGACAAAACTATTTTATTTTGACAAATAACTAACAAAAATAGACAAAGAAAGTGATTAAAGTTTGACTGTCTGAATAGTAATCGGGAAGAACGTTTTTGGACGGATGAAGTATCTTTTTAAAACTATTTTGTTTACAAATTTGTATGGAAATAAAAAGTATATATAAATTACAAATATATATATCAAAAGTTTTATAAAACAAGATGTGATAACATTATTTTATTTCATCAAATAATAGACAAAAACATGCAAACAAATAAAATTACCGAAAGGTCAAAATAATAATTTTGAAGATAATTATGGGACGAAAAGAGTATTTACTAAAATAAATAAGTCTTGTAACATCTTAATTTATAAAACATTTGATGCAATTTTATATTATATAATTTATATTTTAATTTCTTTACTAATTTGTAAATAAAATAATTTTTAAAAAATATGAGATTTGGTCATTGTTCGAAGTGATATACGATATTTAGGACAAAGTAAGTACGGAGTAATTTATTTAGACCTAAGGTTGGCCAAGTGGTCGGCACTGCGGGCCTAACAATTGAAACTAAAGTCTAACCCACATAGATACCCGCAAACTTTGAGTCGATTCGACCTGCCTTATTTTTTAAAATTTTATACTACATTGGTCTCATTATATTTGTCTAATTTAGTTTTTGAATCAAAGTAGATAAACTTTAGAACTTGATTAAATAAAAGATGTAATGTGCAGAGTATATTTTAAAAAAACTCATTAGATTTATCTTGTTGATTATTTTCAAAAATTGATTTCATTGTATTAATATGTAATACAATATTAACTTAACATATGATGATTATAGTTCATCCAATTTGACTTAAAAAATTAAATCGTTGTAAACCACAACGCCAACTTCTCATTGAGACGGAAGGTTTAGTATTTATAGAATGTTTCATATAGAGAATGATAATTAGAGTTATTAGACCATCTAACAAAGCGGCGGGGTTCCCATGACAATGAAACCTTATGTCATGGGATGACTCTAAGCGCTCCGGTATCCCATTCATAAAATTGACGATTCCTACCCCTTAATCTCCCAGTAAACCCCCACCCACCCCGATCCGAACACACCCCCACCCCCCTTCAATTGCACCCCCAAGTTAATTTTGACTTTGGAGTCGAGTTTTGACTCCAAAATCAAAATTGTTTTGACTCTAAAATCAAAATTAACTTGGAGGTGCAATTGAAGGGAGTGGGAGGTGTTTGGATCGGGGTGGGTGGAGGGTTTACCAGGGGGTTAAGAGGGTAGGAACTGTCAATTTTACGAACAGAGCACAAGAGCGCCTTTGGGTTAACTTAATCGTTGCCAAATAGAACGATATGAAAATCATGGGGCATTTAAAAGTCACTGTTGAATAACATTGTTTCAAAGTTCAACATAGGGGAATGGTTGAAAACATGGCATTCCTTGCTCACAAGTGGACAATGTATTCTACTCATAAGAGTGGTTTTTTGACCCAAAAAACAAAAAGTTAAAAACCACTGCCCCAAAGGAACAATTTTTGCCAAAACAAAACACATCCTCGAGCTAATAAAGATGCAACATCCTACACTAATGCATCAGATTAAGCTGTTCAAAGTCACGGAAAAAAAACGTACGCATACCAAAAGATTACTTGTAACCTGAATAATATAGGAGTGGACGAAAGTCGCCTTTCATTCAAAAATAAAAATCACTCGATACGTTCTTGGAGGAGAATTCGAGCTTCGCGTCAATCCTTTCCTTATCAAAGAAATGTGCAAGCTGTGTATCATCTGCATGTGCTCCTTTGTTCTCGACACAGACTTTGGCAAGGGAGTGCCTCCAACAGTTTACAGACAGAGATTTCCAGCAACCGCATTTCTTCTTGCCCCTCATTGGCTTTTCATATGTGAACTGGAAAGGCAGAAACAAAAGCATTTCAACACAACTGTGACCTCACACCCATACAGTCAGGGGTACAGATGTCATATTTCATACCAAATTTTTACATACCATTTATGTTTATTGTTCAAGATTTTTGCACACATAAGTCGCCCAAACATATAACTTCCCACCAAGGTAAGATAAGGATCAAAAGTAGGGAATAGAAAATGATGTTTTGCAGGATATGAGTACCTCGAGTTTCTTGAGAGCAGAAAACTCAGTACCGCATATGGATATAGCTTCTGGATGAGGAGCAAGCCACAAAAGAGACTCGATTACTTGAACAGGATGCTTCAATCTTGATAGACGGAACCCTACATCCAGATGTTTGACAGCATGCAGGGGAGGGCGGCAGTTCATCCTCACAGACTCCGGAATAATCAAATCCTTAGTTAAAACAATGGCAAACATATAACCATTATATTAAAAAAAATAACTGAATAATTGATACTACGCACATAAAAATGTAAGGTAGAGCCAAATAATGTTAACATGACTTGCACACACACAAACAGAGTCAAGCTTTAAGGTGTGTTTGGTAGTAGGGGTTGAGAGGTGAGAGAATTAGAAATTTAATTAATAAATAGCTTTTATATTAATTTAACTTGCTTGATAATTGAATTGTTTTTCCAAAAGTATGTATTACTCCATATGAGTTATAGAGTGATATATTAAGGACTACCTATTTTTCTTTTATCTGAAAGAAGATTCTGTCAAAATGTCAAATATTTCAATTAATCAGCAAAAGATAAATTGTATCAAACCAAATGAGGGGAATCCACTCCTCCCCTTCACCTCCAAAAGCGGAAAACCAAAAGTGAACTCCAATCCCATCCCCTACCCTAGAAACCAAGCACACCCTTAATGAAAGAAAATCCATTGGTTACCTTTTCATAAGCCACCTCAAGCGACAGATTTTCAGTGCAGCTTAGCTTTGCAAGAAATTTAAGTAGTCCATTAAACCACACTTCTCCTCGATAGTCGGGTTTCAAGAAAACGGAAGCATTTTTCAACTTGAGAGTTGGACCCTTGCACACAAAGGTTAAAGGATCTTCTCCATTATAGAAGAAGGATTTGAGGTTGGGAGTATCAATTCTAACCTTTTGCAAATCCCTACACTCATCAAAAACCAAATCGACTAGATTCTGACTCGAAATGTCAACATGATACACATTAGGACAGTAATTCAATGCCAGGCGTTCGAGAATTGGATGATTGTTCAGAATGTCATTCAAGTCATCGTCATCCAATTGAGAGCCATGTAGGTCCAGCAATTTCAGTTTCTTACAAGCCCCAAAATCAAATTCAGGATCATACTCGCCATAAGAAACATAACTAAACTCACAAAGATTGGGTGCCTCAATCTGAATCACTTCCACTTCTCCCCCACAGTGCTCAAAACACACTTTCTCAAGTTTAGAAAGATCGAAGATTTCTAGTCTCGTCAATCCCTCACAATCTTTCAGAGATAATTTTTCAAGGTTAGGGCAACTAGCAAGCAAACTCACCATGAACGCATCATCTGCATTGACATATTCAAGGCGTATTTCTCGCAGACAAGGTAATTGGCCATCCACCATACATGATGAGCTCAACTCACAACTCGCCAATTTCAATTTTTGGATGACTCCGGAGACAAGAACACTCTTGGGAAAATTATATCTAGCATCTCTCCGTGAATGAATTTGCAATCCCAACTCTTTCACGCCGCGTCTAACAGCACCAGCAAGCCAACCATCCAAACGAGATTTCAACTCTAAATCAAAACCCAGAATGTATATATTAAGCTTATCCATACCCATACAAGATCCTAAAGCCCGATCAAGAAAGGCATAAAAACTTGTTCTCACCCTAAGAATCTTCTCCCTCTTTGCTTTACGGGCATCGTCCTTATCATCCCAATCAGGCAACTGTTCATTCATTGCAGATGAATAAAAGCAGTGCCCAGGCAAATTTAAAGTAGGCAGGCTTTCCGACAATGCCCGCCAACTGCTTGACAAAATGCTAGTTCTAACAGCTTCCCTAGTTTCTACAAATGAAAGTATGTGCTGCTTAATTGAATCCGGTAGGTTAGATATTCTATCAGGTTCATCAGAGTTCGTCTCGTAACGAATCTTCTTCTTCTCCGCGATCATGTCCATCTGGCAAGTGCGCTGCTGCATCAAAACACGATTGTGTGACATGATGGCAATAGTAATCTCGATAGAGAATGGCAGAAATTATGAGAAATATAAGATTGAAAAAAATTAGGGGTTTACCTATAAAACGTTTGGGGGAAACTTGTGTTCAAAACCCTAGAAGCGCCAAATCCTTGGCGAGCAACTCAATCCACTGAAATGGAATACACGCCAAACTCTAGAAGGTATATGGTACAAGGGGTCTGAGACGAATATAATTAGTGTGATATTCATTTTAAAATAATGCAGAATTTATTTTCACACATTGATTTAATATAATTATAATATTCATGTACAAATAATGTTGTGTTCATTCTGAAACAAAACAATACTCGTTCTCAAATAAGTTGGCATTCATTCTCATTTAAATAAAATCCATATCATAAATAATTTCTTAGTTGTGCTTAAAATTGGATGGAATGTATAATATAATTTGCTGCCAAACTTCAGCTTTACGTAGTGCAGTCCATGCTTTATACGGAGTACAAGTTTTTATTGGAACAAAGAAAGTTGTTTAATTGGAAATGGTTGGGGATAATTTTATAGTAAAAGATTAGTTAAAAAAGAGACAAAAAAGCCTAATTTAAATAGGAGTACAAGTAAAAGCTTTTTTTAAAAATAAAAATCGAGTTATAAACATAATAACACGTTGTCAATTGATTTATAAAGTCAAAAACACTTACTAAGTTTTTTGACCAGCTTATAACCATATTTTTTTAACTAATTTTTTTCAGGTGAATATATACATGGTATTTGAATTGATCAAGCCTTTTCTCTATTTTATGCTTAGTTGGCATATGATAACTTAAATTTTTCATTTGTTTTACAGACTGGGTAACATAAAAATTACTCCCTCTGTCCTATTTTAAATTACCTGTTTGCCTTTTTTTTTCTCCGTCCCAAAATAAGTTGCTTGTTAGTTGTTTTCGTAAACTTTTAAAATAAAATACCTAAACTACCCCTAAAATAAGTCACTCTTCTTCACATTATCTTCTCATTCATCATCACCCTTCCTAAAAAGTAATGTCAATTTTGAAAAATCAACTCTATTTTTTATTTTTCTTAAATATGCCCAAAAATTAAAACAGACGGTTTAAATTGGGACGAAGGGAGTATAATTTAATTACACAACCGACAAACAAGTCAATTAATTATTTTTCTAATAATGGGCCGTGGGGTTGTCATTACGCAGGCCTAAAACTGTACCGAATCGCGTATTGAACTGTAGCCCACGACGCGACAACATGGAATAGCCCAATGACCGATTTTCCACCACGGCCTTCAAGGCGCGCCTAAGCGACGATCCAATATTCTTCTCTCCATCGCCGGTGCCGCCGCCAAGCTCGCTGTCGTGCCACCGGACCACGACGTCCACCTTCGTCCGCCCTCCGAGCGTCGCCATTTCCGCCATGGCCACCTTCCCGTTGACCGAATAAATCGCCTCAGACAAGTCTTGGATCAACCCTGGCCTATCGTCGCAACAAATCGTCGCTTTCATTGCCGACAACAACTCTCCACCCTCTTCGCCTCCGGCGAAGGGAGCCACCACCACCTCATCATTCTCTCCCGGCACGAATAATGATGATTCCGGAAAACCGGTGTCTTCCATCACAGCCGCCGCCATCTTCCTCAGCTCCTTCAGCTGTTTAACAGCCTCCGTCAGTACTCTCGGTTTATCCTTCTGCAAATATTGGGTGATAACATTAAGAGTTCCTCTTTTGAGCTTTTTTTTGTTGTCAAAATTATTCATTAATCATTTTTAATTTATAAGTCAACTGATCAGTGATCACTTGTTTATAAGCTGACTTTAGTCAAAATTACTTATAAATCGGTTTTATTTATTTTAAGCTAACTTTTTTTATTTTGACCAAATTGTGAATGTCTCCAGACTCCAATCACTTGAATTATAAATCATTCAAGCCATTTACTCTCACAATAGAATATTGAACTTATAAACAATTTATAAGTTCGCACCCTATAAAGAAACATCTCCATAGTTGAAAATTATTCCAAGAATATCTGAGTTTAGCGTTTATAAAATGAATCGGTGCCATTAGAAACGAGTTTATGTCATTAATCGAGTCAATCCTTGACGAATGTGCTGATTTATTATCATCGTTTACATCTATTAATTTTCATTTTATTCGTAGGAATCGTAATTGTATTGCCCATACCCTTGCAAGGTGTGCTACGTCCCATATGGTCTCATGGAGCCGTACACCACCAAGTTGTATTGCACATTTGATTTCTTATGAATGAAGTTTTTCTTGCTATCAAAAAAAAAAAAAGAGTTTCTTGAGATAAGAACTTACTTTAGGGAGATGAGGAAAGAGTTTTCTAAGAGTAGAAATATGAGAATTAATCCTTTGTCTCCGTTCGCCTTCAGCTTTGGCATGTCTATCAGCTGCTTCTTTAGATTTCTTCTTGGATGGGCAATATGGATTATTATCATGGGAGACTCCATCTTGTCTCCCAATAACACCTATGGCCTGCACCATTGAATATATTCTATCATATATATTTCCTAACGTAGTGTTGGATGAATGATATTGAAAAGAATCAATAAGGGAAAATTATGCATGAGCTTTAGTAGATTGAGGGAGAGAGAGGGGCATGTATAGTATTTATTGTGATTGGGATTTATCATCAAATGAGAGAATATTTTAGTAATAAAAGAAAATAATAGCATAATAATTGTTTTATTTGATCATTTGTATGGTTTTAATGGAAACACAGTGAATGAGAAAAATATTTTGGAAAGGCAATGTATAGTCTTTATACTTATATTGGAGACTAAAACATGGGGTCCAAATTCTCGAGTTTCAATACTAAATTTTATAGTCGGGAGATGTGATACAATTCAATTTGAGTTAAATTTTTTACTCCCTTTGCTCCCAAAATTAATTCACACTTTTTTGTCTGTCACAAAATAACATTCACACATCTCAACATTCATTTTCGCAAATAGAAAATACGCATTCTTAACAATTTCAGTCTTCCTTTTACAAATAGATCGAATAAGTTGTTCTTAACGATTAGTATCTCTTTCAATCAAACTTCAATGATCACTTTTTACTGTTTAATAATTTTTCCAACTTGGCGAAAAAATCAAACTGTGAATTAATTCAAGGAAGAAGGGAGTCAAGAGGGGACAACCGACAATGTATTCTACTCTTAAGAGAACAGAGATTTGACCAAAAAATATAAAGTTTGAAGAAACGGGATGAAACTGAAACAAACTAGAAGAAACTAAAAGAATTAAAAGAAAATGGAAGAAACTGGAATGAGCTAAAAGAAACTGAAAGAAATTGAAAGAAACTGGAAGAAAAAAAAATTAAAAATATATGAAAAAACTAGAAAAATTAGAAAATCTAAAAAAACTTCTAAATTTTTTTGTTTGTTTTTATATTATTCTCATTCTAATTATGGTTGTTATAAATTATTATTATTATTACATTATTATTATTATTATTATTATTATTTTGTGTGTTTTTATATTATTCTCATTCTAATTCTTGTTGTTATAAATTATTATTATTATTGTTATAATAATATTATACTCCCTCCGTCCCTGAGTGTTTGTCCATTTTCATTTTTACACATCATCCAATGCACTTCTTTAATTCATTTTATCTTGTAATTTGTATATTAAAAAATTATAAAAATTATATATTAATAATCTATATGTTAAGACGAATCAAACAAGATCACACATGACTATTTTTAGGCTTACACATTAAGAGAATTTGATAAGTCAAAGTGCTTAGATGAACAGTTCCAAAAGTCAAAAGTGGACAAACACTCAGGGACGGACCAAGTATTATTTTTAGAGTGATTTGTTGGAAAGTAGAATGAGATTGAAGAAAATAAAAATAATTGGAATAAATTGAAAAAACTAGAAAAAACTAAAAAAATTGTTAAAAATTAAAAAAAATCAAAAGAAATTAAAATTTAAGAATTCAAATTCTATAGAAGCTCTTAGCTATGAAATTTTGTAAAGTTAGTACTCCGTAGCAATTAGCAAACTGCAAACGGCAACAAAATGAAGGCTTCAAAAAAGGCCTAAGGCGTGTTTGGATTGACAGAAGGTCCCGTCTTTAAAAGTCCCGATGTGCTCTGCATCACCAAACCGCCTCCAAACAAACCCACAAATTTGAAATCTGACGGAGAGGGAATCCCCTGCATTTATTATTGCGTAGGGTGCTGTTTCCCCATCTCTTCATATTCAAATTTCAAACTCAAACGGTCTCCCCTCTCAGCATCCCCTGCGGCCAAAGCAATTTGCCCGTCTCCGCCGATTGGATTTCAATCAGCTCGCGGACATACACTTCGATTCGCCGGTTTTTATTCCGGTTAGGGTTTCCGGTGGCCGACCGAGCGGGATGGAGAGTTCCGATTCAAAAGATGCGACTCAGTCCGTGAGAGTCGCCGTGAATATTCGGCCGCTGCTCACTCCGGAGCTCCTCCTCGGCTGCACCGATTGCATCACCGTAGTTCCCGCCGAGAAACAGGTTCGGAGATACAATTTTATTCCATTCGTCATACACGCCATTGCTCACTGGTTTTGTTGTCTTAGATCTAACACAGCGAGTTTGGAATTAGGCTTGATCTACCTGACTGATTGGGATGTGTTTGAGCAGATAGTTTAGAGTTTCATGCTAAATCCGTCACTATGGAGTGCGTGATAGATTCAAATCTCACGGATTTATAATTGTTTTACAGGTCCAAATTGGGTCCCATGCATTCACATTTGATTATTTGTTTGGGGGCGCTGGGTGCCCGGCTTCTCGCATATTTGATGAGTGTGTTGCCACACTGGTTGAATCTTTATTTCAAGGATATAATGGAACTGTGCTTGCATATGGTCAGGTGCGGTGTTCTCTTCAATTTGATTGGACGCATTGCTTTACAATAGGTTGTGTTGTGTTTGGTTGGATGCATTACTTTACATTAGTAGTCAATTCAAATGCTTTTTGTGTACATGGCCAACAGACTGGTTCAGGGAAGACTTATACAATGGGTACGAACTATAATGGAGACGACAACAGTGAAGGAGTCATACCTAGAGTAATGGAAACTATATTCTCTAGGGTAAATGGGATGAAGGATTCAACAGAGTTTCTTATTAGGATCTCTTTCATTGAGGTAGGGGAAGTGACCTTTGGTAAATTAATAAGGAATTCATTTCTTATACTTGAACAAAG